GATTTTGGATATCCCAAACCCTCTCCTGGTGGGTAGTGGGATCACCTCAGTGCCTGCATCCCCTCAGGATTTACAGCCTTGGCAGCAAATGTTCCCCAGAACAAAATACAAAGAGTTTCTTAGCAAATGACTACAAATTACAGTGTGCAATTAYCTTAACAGAAAAGAAGGGATTATTTTGGGAAAATAAGAACCCGTGATGACAGAAAAATCTGATTTCCCTGAAGAATGATGGCTGTAAGAAAACAATGTGACAGGAATTTAGGTAGCAAAATATTTTGATATGAGCTGATACCTAAAAGTTTCTGCTGTCATGTCAAATAGACGAGACTAATGCAATGCAGAATATGCTTAGATCAATTTTTATCCATTTATTAATGAAATTCTAAAATCTCCAAAGTAAAAAATTAGTTGAAAGTTGATTTGATTTTTTTTTTAAATCAAACAATTTAGGAGATTGACTTTAATTTATCATGCTGAATTGATAATTTAACTGAGAATCTGGAATTCTCTGCCATCTCAGGGATAAAAATCTGCATTATCAGCTGGAGCAGAACTTCTGATGGCAAGTACAGCCCCAGTGTGTGTTGAGTACTGGGTTTGCATTGATATGGAAGCATGGTGCCAAAAAAACTTGGCAGTGGGATTTATTCCAGCTGGATAAACAGTRTTCTGCCAAATTATAACTTGGAGAGAAATTCGTTAGATACCTTTATGAAAGATTTATAGAGACTCCAATTTTGGGTTCTGAATTAACAGCTCAGAGGAAGAAGGAGGATTATTTGAACTCGTTCCCAGAGGGTGAGATCTTTAAGCTCTTACTCACTGGTTTTGAAAGAGAAAAGAGGAATTGTGCAGTGCAGTCACACCCTGCAGTTTGCACCGTGAGTAACCGGGTGTGAAACCAGGGGAGCTGGGACACACTGGGCTGGAAATGTTTCTGTGTTTCAGCTTAACTGAGCCTTTACCTTCCACTCCCCCAATCCCTCCCTCCCTGGGTTTCAGAGGAATTCCTCTCACTCATTTCTTATTTACTGCAGTGGTGACACAGCTGGTGACCTSCTCAAAGTCTTTATCAAGAAATGATTTAAACATTGTTTGCATATAAAAGCAGTGGGTTTTTTTCAATTATTCTGTCATCTAGAATATAAAACACTGCAAAAATGAAAAATTTTCAAATTCAAACCTCATTCTCAAGGCACAACATTCGTTACTTTTTGTTTTCTCAGTAAATCTGCATTTCTGGAAGGGTTATACAGATTTTTTTTCAGATTTAGTGCCGAAATGAAGCCTGTTTCAGTTCATGAGTTTGTGGACTTGAGGCTTCAGGTTTCCCATCATAACAGACACGAATTACTTGACCTTCCATCAAAGAA